AGGTTTTTGGTCGTGTTACTCATCCTAGTTGTCCCATCTTGAGGAAAGCCATTCTCATCTATTTTTTAGATGTGCTTACTCATCAAAGATCTGGGCTGCTATTCAGGAAAAGTGTAATGTTAGTTGGCCTAACCTAACCTAGTTAGAGTATGTTGATCTGGCTGTTAAGTCTATTAAAGGTAGATCTTTGAAGTCTGTTGTTACGAAACTGTCCTTTATGTGCACGGTGTATCATATTTGGATAGAGAGGAATGGTAGAGTCTTTAACAAGACCAATGCCCCTGCTGAGGTGGTCACTAAGCATATTATCCAAATGGTGAGAGGTAGGTTAATTTCAATGAATAATGTGTTAAATTCTACAGGTGATAGCTGGTACTTGTCGCAATGGAACTTGCCTTCCACCATTATGAAGTTGCCCCCACATTCAAATGTTGGGATCAACAATCATGAAATTGCCCCAATATTCAACTGTTGGAAGAGGCATGAGGGATATGAGTGCACCTATATATAAGGGTTGAGTGAAGGTAGCATATACTGAGTGTTTCCTAATTGATTGTTCTTTTGCAGGTTTCTGAAGCTTGTCATATTCTTGATGTTGATAAATCTAAGGACTGGAGAGGGAAAGATTCATTGTGGGTTGAGTGATGTGAGCCAGTACATGATTCACTATATATGTGGGAAGAGAGATGTGAGTTTTACCAAAAATGGTTTTCTAATGTTTCTTTATATATGTTATCTCTTTTCTCTTTTGCAGGACAGGGATGCTCTTAAAATTCTGCCACTATTCCAGATTGAGTCTAAATTTGTGAGTTGTGGGTTAAGTGATGTGAGACACTATATGGAGAGGATAGATACATTTTAATTGTGGGCCGAGTGTTTTTTTTTTTTTTTGGTAAGTAAGTCATAAAATAAAGACAATGAAATTTACAAGTTTACAAGCCCAGGCACACCCAACAACAAATAATTAAACGAATACATAACCAACATAACCTACCATTGCGCCCCCTAAGATTGGGGGAGAAACACAAGAACAACATAAAAAACAAAATAACCCAACTTTGCCCATATATCCTTTTGTCCCCAAGTAACCCCTACCATCAGAGATAATAGACGGAAACTTGGGATGGATATATCGGCAAAGATACAAACAAACACCAAAAAATTAAAAACCACAACAAGCATACTCACAAAGCAACAACCCTCAAGACAAATCAAAAATGATAACCAACCCCATTCGCCCCCAGTCTCTACCGTAGATTAACACATGGAATCCAGTAAGCATCCCACTCCTCACAGCCGTGACATCCTAGCCACTCAACAAAAGCCATGACAGAGGAAAAAATCTACCCCATGAGAAATCCCGACAGAGTCACATGAAGCTAGCACGATCAGTAACCATAAGCAACAGTCTTGTGAGTCGAAGTGACAACGGTAGCCCCACAGCAACAAACCGATACATAGCCAAAAAATAACCTGAGATCAATCATCACATCCCCCAGTCCCTTCCTTGGTAGATTACAAGCCTCAAACCCCATGGCAGTGTGCCCTTCACTCCATGTCAGGCGTGGCAATACGACCAATTAGGATGGGTCACATGAAGACAAGAAGCAACCGGAACCGGTAGCTATCCTCCCACTCATCTCCCAGTCTCTAACTCGGCTAGTCATCGAACCACTATTCCCCATAGCAGTGACCCCTCAATCACTCTTGGCGGAGATGGCTCAAAACTAACCTCATATCGAGTCACATGAGGATCACATGATCAATCATCATGATAAAATCGACTATACATGATCCGCTGCAAAGTGGTTAAAAAGAAAATCAAAAACCAGCTGCCCAAAATTTTTCTCGTGAAAGCACCCCACTTGACAGTGTAACTTCCTATCAGACAATTTGAAGTCCTCCTCAAAACAGTACCCTCATACTATGGCATTCCAGTATACACCACTAAATACTATTTATATATATAAATAATTATATATATAAAAAAACAATGGGCCAAAATTGACCCAACCAACCCAGATAGAAATCCACTCCGTAAGCTGCAACCCACCAAAACAACGTGGGCCCACCCACTCCCAAAAACAACCCACGGCCAAACACATTTTACAATTAAAAAATTAGCTTCACTTTACACCCACGTGAGCCCCCTCAAAAAAATCAAATCAAATGGGACCCACAATTCACTCTTCACAATACCACCAATAAAATCAGTAGTATCTTCAACAAAATCAAACTTGTGGGCCCCAAAACCAACTACTAGCCGAATGTATATATATAAAGCATATATATATAATATCCAAAAGCAGATAGCATAATCACCTTCAACTGCACTCTGCACCATACATGTTGCCATTTTGCACCGTAAAATACCTCCAAATAATTTACCAACTTCAACCCACGTGAGATCACTAACCAAACCGTGGGCCAAAAGGTATGGAACCTCTCACCCAATCAACATCAATTCAGATAGCCACCTTCCTATCAAACATTGGCGGGAAAGTTGAAATCAACAAACAATTAGATACAGCGCGGTTCACGACACTACAATGCAGCGTGTGGACCACACTCATCACCTCCAAATTTCAATTTACAGAGCTAATGACACCGGAGCAAATACCAGTACGTAGATCAGCCCATAAATGTAACGACGGACAATAACCCATCTGCCAGCATCACTACCCTGCAGCAACCACGACACTGGCAAAATAGCATCGGAGTAACACAAAGATCTAACCCCCATCAGCGGCTGAAAACAGACTCACGCCGAAACAAAAAGACGCCCGGAGTACCTTGCTGCCATTAACGGAAAAGATGCACCGCCCATGACACAGCACCACCTGTAGTTCTAAACAAACCGAGGCACAGAGTAGACTGAACACAGAGTATACTTAACCCAACATATCTCTATCTCTCCCACCATTTCACGGTTCCCATTGCAGAATTACTGCCATAATAACCCAAACAGCACACCATGAGTTGGAGCCATAATCCAGAGCACCACCACCCGGACCACCACTGCTAGTCAGCAAGACCGAAAAAATAACCCCATCGCCGGCGAGACTCAGAAAGTCATACACTGAAGCTTGTAGACCCACCGGTGATATAACCAGAAAAAAAAACATCAACGCCGCTGATCTTACCGTTGATTCTAACCAAAAAACGGCCAGAACAGCCACGGCCAGCATTGGCGCCCATCAACGGCGTATAGACCTTCGGCAAGCCCAAACTAGCAACGGTGAACAGAGCAGCGCCAGGAAATGATCCCATGCCGGAACAAAAAATGCATTCCGAATCACTGGACCCCAACCAAGATCACACACCGACTTCGTAGAAGACCGGTTGCAACAACTTCAACATGATCTGAACATCCCATCTTGAACCCAAGCTGGACGGATCAGAACATGAAGAGAATAACCATCCAGCCAATATCTGAGATATGGCCGTAACAAAAGGCACTAAAACAGCACCATAACCTAAACTCAAACAACTCACTCTATGGTTAACAAAACCAGCCGGAAAGATTTCACCGGACTGGTAACTCACACAATAAACATTCTCCCTCAGGAGGTGAGAAAGACAAACGGACAATGCACCATTTACACTCCGGGGGGAGCTTTCTCTCTCTAGAGAGAGAGACTCTGCTTTCTTCCCCTTCCTTCTTCTAGAACTTGCAACTAATAATGTATGCTCTTTTTCTGCTCCTATATACAGTCTAAGTTTCTATATGTGGCTGGATATGGTTCAGGTTCACTGTACCAAGTATAGGTGGAGAGGTTGTGGCTGCAATCTGCGCACTTCCGAGAGACGAAGCAATGTTAATATGATTTTTGACTGGTGGTGTGGAGGTGGCTGCAATCTGCGCGCTTCTTGGCTGCTACATGCTGTTTGGAGATGCTCCCCAGTGATGGCAGCAAGTTGCGCCTTGTCTAGACATTTCAGTGGGTTCTTAAGTTGTCTTACATTCTAGTTGTATATATTCTTTTTTGGTTTGTTGGTAATTTTTGTATATTGTAAATCTTTCCCCTCTTTGGGTTGTTTTAGTTTCTTTCTGGATGTGCTTGAGACCAAGAGCTGGGCTGGATTATTGGCCTTTCACGTTGGATTTTGTGCTATTACTGTTCAGTGCTACCTTTGGGCTGATATAGTTCTTGTACATGTTTTGGGACATGGTTCTTGAACAAGTAATATGTTCTGCTCGGCTGTTATGGATGCTCAGGCACTTTGATTATTGGTAATGGCAGGTTTTTAGTCTGGTGGCATCTATCTTGTTAGTCTTGTTAGTTTTGTGCTGTTGTTTCTTTTGGCGTTGTCGTGGTAGTTTGTGTTAGGGCCTGGGGTATGCCCCTTGTATTCGTGTAAATTCTTCTGTTCTATTTTATTTCTTATTCACCCCAATATATATATATATATATATACCACTCACATACCTGCCCCATGTCTTAAACAACAGGCCTCCCCAAAACCGTGAGCCAAGCAAACCCACATGCAACACTTTCCATGTACAACTGATAATAGCAACACTACTTCCCACAGCCTGTTCAAACCTCAGTAGCCTAGGTGTGAAGCTCACCTTATTGAGCTCATGCATATGCCAAACCGTGAGATACACGCCCAACGACACCAGACCATACCAGCGCCGGATTAGCCCTTGCCGGAGTACCAACCCTACTACGAAAGACCAAAGTTCTTGGTAATGCTTGGAGAAGGTGTAACCAATACCAAAGGCGACATAACCACCGGCGGTAACATAACCCATCAAAAAAACTCGGTGAGCTACAAGAACGGCGATGGCACCACCTAAAAACCGAAGCACCCACCAAACAGATTTCGAGAGACAACAGGACCCAAGCTCACAACAGCCCTCAGCTATAGCTGGCGTCATTCCCACCGCTCAGAAACAGCGCCGGCAGAGCCAACGAAGCGTGAAAACAAATCCATGATTCCCAGGACCACTCTGGCAAGATATCCCTCTGTGAAGACACAAGAAGGCACTACCGATGAGGTCCATTAAACCAGAGCACACCACCGGCACAGAAGAACATTTGCCGGCGAACTTAATAAACATCAAACACCATCCATATGACCATTACCGACGACGAGACCAACACTCACAGTCGGAGCTCAACAAGGGTGATGGGTTAACAACAACAATGACCAACCAAAGACCCACATAGTCACCAGAGAATACACCCAGATAAACAATGAGAATAACCAGACTGAACAACTTAAACATGCTAAGCTCCATGAAAACGCAACGATGGAGATCAAAACACTCCTTTTCACACTAGGAGCTAATAGATGTGTAACCCATGCTCCATATCACTCAAATGATGAGTATAGGAGCTAAACCAACTGGCCAGAACAGCATCAGATCTTCACTATCTCTGGGGGGAGCTTTCTCTCTCTAGGTTCTAGAGAGAGAGGTTCTACTTTCTTCCCCTTGCTCTTCTTAAAGTGGCAAAGTTTAACTTAAACTAATCTTGCTTGGTTTAACAAATCTTGCTTAGTAAATTCTCTTACTGAGTCATTGTAGCATAACTTTTTGGGTGAATAATCATTGTAGCATAACGATCTTAGTTTAACAATAAACACCTCATTTAAGTTTTCTGAAATCACTTAAGCGTTCAATACTCAAGTCTAAAACGATGAATTTGAATTCTCTTTAATTTTCTTCCTATTTCTCTTTCTTTTCTTTAACTTTCTTGTCTAGCTCTCAAGAAGATAGTTTCTCTCCAACTTTCTCTGTGCTTCTCCATCCTTCTATCTTTTGTTCTAGGAAACTAATTCGCTTGGTGAGTGAATTATTGTGGGTTGAGTGAATTTAGACCTCAAATTGTTTGTACTAATGTTTACATATATAGTAATTTTTTATATGCAGGCTAAGGATGCTGTCATTGAGTGGTGTGAGTTCCTATATTGTGGGCTTTATTTGGTTGAAGTATGGTTCTCTTCCTTCATTTGGTTGTAATTTCTTCAAGTTACACAATGCAGGGTTTACTACAGAGTGTAAGCAAGGTATGGGTTGCATGGGAGGTCAGCTGCGTCTCCATGGTAATTGTTGGTTTGCTGGTACAAATGTTTCGGGTACAAGAGTTTGCTGGTGCGTGGTTGTGGCTGCTTGTAGCGCCTCTGGTGGGAAGATTGTTTTTCTTTTCCGTTATTTTAATTTATTATGGTTGGACATTGTAGATGGTTTGCTGTGTTTCATTCCTTTTGGCCTATCCATGCGGGATGTGCATGGCATTTCTGTTTTTTTTGTTCTTGGGTTTCGAACTGTGGAGTATGGTACACATGTGAGTTGTGCATGGTCTTCATTCGACATGTTCCTCTTTTGCAAAGGAACAATATCTGTGGATAGCATCCTAGGTCATCTGCTATATGGGACTGCAGCGGGATGGACTTCAGCTATTTTGTTGACTATGGCTGCTGGGAATGCCCATGATGTGATGGACGTATTGTTTTTTATTTGTTTTATTATTTGGTTTTTAAAGCCTGATGAATGCTTGTTTTATTTTTTGGTCTCATGCTTTACCTGCGGCATGTGCATGGTTAAGTTGGTCTGTATGGTCCCGAACCCGTTCGATTGTGTTCATCTGTCCCATATGTTTATTATTGGATACATGAACATTTTTGTATGCTCGGGTCTGTGTCGGTTTGTGTGGACAGTTCATTAGGCTTTGTATGTTTTTTTGGAATTCTGGCTCGTTGTCAGTTTCTTAGCTTGGTTGATCTAGACTGTTTTTTGTTCTTATTGGTTAGGGCCTGGGGCATGCCCCTTGTATATGTGTAATTTTCTGTGTTTTTAATTTATGTCTTATTCACCCAAAAAAAACTAATTCGCTTGGGACCCCTTTTTTTTTGGGTGGGTAAGTCATAAATTAAAGACAAAAATTACACATTTACAAGGGGCATACCCCAGGTAATACAAAAAAATCTCGCACCCCCCCCAAAGGGGGGGGGGGGGGGGGGGGATACTAAAACAAATAAAAATAAACCAATTATAATAACCCTCCTACAAGGTACCCAGCAAGATAGCAAAACAAAACACAAATTTGCCCATATATCATTTTTTAGTCCCCAAGTAACTCCTACCATAAAATAATAGATGGAAACTTGGGGAAGATATATAGGCAAATAAACAAAATATTAACCACGTTAGCAAAAAAATAAAATTCTGCCACCATTTGAATCGTGGCTGGCACCATCTCAAATCACTCCCCAACACATATACCATTGCTGGTTTTATAACAAACCCGTGGGCCAAAACCATCCACGTATATACACTTTTCAACTACCAACATCAACATCTTGCAGCTCAAAAAACCAGCTCTGCTTTTCAATCAAGCTGTGTTGCAAAAAAACCATCATACAGCTAGCAAAGGCGGGAACAGACCACCACGCTGCACTCCAGCCAATGTTAGGCTACCCAAAATTGAAACCACACGCAATACAGAGTGTGTGTCCCACTGCATGCTGAACTACCATCTTCCATTCGCTTGGGACCCTAATTGTTCCATTAGCTTAAATAACCAAGTTTAACTCAACCAAATCTTGCTTAGCATCTAAGAAAGACAATTTACTGAGTAATTGCAACTTAACGATATTAGTTTAACATAAGCACCGCATTTAAGGTTTTCCAAATTGCCCGAGTGTTCAATTCTCAAGTCCAAAAGGACGAATGTGAATTCCCTATGATTTCTTTCTCTATTTCTCTTTCTTTTCTCTAACTATCTCTTCTATCTCTCAAGAAAAAAGTTTCTCTCGAACTTTCTCTGTGCTTCTCCGTCCTTCTCTCTTTTGTTCTAGAAACTAATTAGCCTGGTCCCCTAATTGTTCAATGAGTTTAAGTGGCCAAGTTTAACTCAAACAAATCTTGCTCAGCCTCTAAGAAAGAGAAGTTATTGAGTAATTGTAGCTGAACGATATTAGTTTAACTTAAACACCTAATTTATGATTTCGAAATCACCTAAGTGTTCTATTCTCAAATCGAAAATGATTTTTTTTCCCTCCTATTTCTCTTTCTTTTCTCTAACTATCTCTTATGACTCTAAAGAAAAAAGTTTCTCTCTAACTTTGTCTGTGCTTCTCCATCTTTCTTTGCACTAACTTTTTTTTTCCTGCTCCGAAGAAGGAAGTTTCTCTGTAACTTTCTCCGTCCTTCTCCTTCCTCCTCTCATTTGTTCTACGTACTCATTAGCTTAGGTAACAAATTCTTTCATAAGATTAAGTGGCCAAGTTTAACTCAAGCTAATCTTGCTTAGCCACTAAGATAGCGAACTTTCTGAGTAATTGTAACATAACGATATTAGTTTAACATAAGCACCTCATTTAAGATTTTCTATATCACCAAGGTATTCAATTCTCAATTTCACAAAAATTGAATTTGAATTCTCTTTGAATTTCCTCCTATTTCTCTTTTTTTTCTCTAACTTCTCCTCTAGCTCTCAAGAATGTAACTCTCTCCGTCCTTCTGCTTCCTTCTCTCTTTTGTTCTAGAAACTAAGTAGCTTAGGTGAGTAATTGTTTCATAACCCTAAGTGGCGAAGTTTAACTCAAACTATCCTTGCTTGGCTTCTAAGAAAGAGAATTTTCTGAGTAATTGTAGCTCAATGATATTAGTTTAATATAAGAACTTCATTTAAGGCTTTTGATTTTAGGCCTATTTCTTGTTGCAACACAATCTATAAGTGCATAGCCAAGATTATTGCTAACAGAATTAAGGCTGTCCTCCCTGATTTGATTGACCATGTTCAATCTGCTTTTGTGCAAGGTAGGAGGATCTCTGATAATATTTTCTTGTCCCAAGAGCTTATGAGAGGTTATCATCGTCAGTCCGTTACTCCTAAATGTGCTATGAAAGTTGACATTATGAAAGCCTACGATACTGTTAGATGGGAGTTTATTATTGATGTCCTAAAGGCCATGGCCTTTCCACTCTCTATGATTTCCTGGATTAAGGGTTGTATCACTAGTCCGTTGTTTTCCATTTGCATCAATGGGAGCCTTCATGGCTATTTCAAGGGCGCAAGAGGCCTTAGGCAAGGAGACCCTATGTCTCCTTATTTGTTTGTCTTGGCTATGGAAATCCTGGCTAGAATCCTTGCTGAGAAATCCAACCATCATCTTTTTAAATTCCATTGGAGATGTGAGAAGACTAAGATTGTTAATTTGTGCTTTGCTGATGATTTAATGATATTCAGCAAAGGGGATGCATCTACTGTTCAAATGATTATGCATGGGCTTGAGGAGTTCAAGAATCTTTCGGGTCTTACTCCTAGTGCTGCCAAGAGTAACATATTTTTCTGCGGGTGTGACTCTAGTCTTAGGGAGGAAATTCTTAAGATTGCCAATTTCAAGGAAGGTACCCTCCCTGTCAAGTACTTGGGTGTTCCCTTAATCACCACTAAGTTGAGAGCATTAGATTGCCAGCAGCTTATTGATAGGATCACTAACCGTATTAAGAGTTGGACCAATAAGGCCCTCTCTTATGCTGGTAGAGCTCAGCTTATTCAAACCATCCTGTTCTCTATGCAAGTCTACTGGTCCTCGTTATTCATCCTCCCTAAGAAGGTTGTTAGAGAAATTGAAAATTTACTTAGAGCCTTTCTTTGGTCCGGGGTTGATCTGAAGAAGCATAGTGCGAAAATTGCTTGGGATAAAGTTTGTGCTCCCAAGTCTGAAGGTGGTCTGGGTTTTAAATCTCTGGAGGTTTGGAATAAAGCTGCTATTGCCAAACATATTTGGTTCCTTTTCTCGGGGGGTGAGAAGTCGATGTGGTGCCAATGGGTTAAAATCTTACTTACTCAAAGGCAAAAGTTTTTGGAAAGTCCCTGTTCCTAGTGACCCTTCTTGGGTCTGGAGGAAGATTCTCTCTCTTAGGAAGTCAATATTTCCTCTCATTGTCCACAAAATTGGGAATGGTAATGCTACCTTTTTGTGGTATGATAATTGGCATCCGGTGGGCTCTATTTGGGACAAATTTGGGAATAGGATTATCTATGATTCTGGTCTCGCTGGGGAGGCTAAAGTGAGCAATATTGTTCATGGGGATTCCTGGCACTGGCCTTTTCCCAACTCTTGGGAGATGAGAGACCTTATATCGTTGACCCCCCCTTCTTTTAAACCCAGATCTTCGAGTAATGATACTCTTATTTGGACTCTTACTCAAGATGGTATATTCTCCATCCAATCTGCTTGGAACCACTGGAGAGATAAACATGATAAGGTGGCTTGGTATAAACTGCTGTGGGGTCCGTTCAATATCCCTAGAGTTAGTTTCATTGTCTGGATTGCCTTACATGGGAGGCTTAACACTGGGGACAGGTTAGAATCTTTTGGTCTGAGTGACAATTTCAAATGCTCCTTCTGCAATCATCACACTGAAAACCACTCTCATCTTTTCTTTAATTGCATTTTCTCTCTAAAGGTTTGGAATGCTATTAAAGTTAAGTGTAATGTAAAGTGGCCTGACATTTTTTGGCCTGATATTGTTCATGTTGCTATGAAGGAGAGTCTGGGTAAATCTCTGAGAGCCATTACTACTAGACTGGCTCTGCTATGTACTGTTTATCAAGTTTGGATTGAAAGAAATAACAGAATTTTTAATAAGGAAATGAAACCTGAAGAAGTTGTTATCAAGTCAATTGTTCAAATGATTAGAGGCAGGCTAATGTCATTAAACAATTTGCCTAGATCTGCAGGTGATGAATGGTTCTTAAAGCAATGGAATTTGACTGATTCCATTCTGAAGCCCCATACTGTTCGTATTCGGAGGGCTGCTGAGTGATGGGAGTTTCTCACATGAGAGTTGAGAGTTGGTGAGCTACATAATGTGGGGTTTCTAACTGTTTGTGTCATGTGCAGCTCTATGGATTGAGGGTTGAGTGATGTGAGTCATAAACTTCAAATCTGTTAGACATTTGGTAATCAATGGAATATCTGAGGGTTGAGTGAAAATAGCCTATATATGTTTTATTTGCTAACCAGTATATATATATTATCTCTTTATTTGCAGGATAAGGAAGCAGTTTTCGAGTGTTGTGAGGTCCTATACTGTGGGCCGAGTGAT